AATGAAGCAATTCGGAAATTTTGGAAAAATTCCTAGATTTCCAAACTGAATTGTCAGTGTCCCCTACATCCGAAACAAGTTTTGAACCATTTTTTCCCTTGATCAAACAGCCTACTGTCTAGATTCTCCACTGGCCCTTATGGTCCACTTCCAGAAAACCTGGATAATAAAGCCTTGCTGGAGATCCTAGATTCTTAGAGAGGTCATATTAATTGGCTCAACAAATAACACTATGTAACAAAATTTGAAAAAAAATGTTTCTGGTTTGAAAGTGTTATTCCTATTTCATTGTGTGGTACTTACTTTGGAAGTAGTTGTTTTACTCCAGAAACTTTGTTTTTGTGGCTGCCACAAATTTTGTTGAATTGGTTGAGACTCAATGAGATCTTCATTGATAACTATAGCAAAATGTGCTTCAGGAAGTCCCTCCCACCAAAACCAAAGTTTTTGAAGTTTAATAAACTTTTTCCATGTTTTTATGATAGAACCAATTAGGAAATGACATTTATAACCCAGGAACAAACACTGTGTTACACAGTGTAATCAAATCCTCAAAAGTTAAACCTGCAAATGTAAAGGGCCAACTGTTCACCATTTGCATAAGTACAAGGTAAAAATGTAAAAACAAAAAAACAAAAAAAAAGTTGGGAGAGAGGAATAGGAAAATCATTCTACTTGCACTTCACTTTGTCTAGCACAATTTATCAACATTTTAAGAAGTGTAATATATTTCCTCCATCACTGAATCCCCCCAACATATACTTATATGCACACATCCTTAGTTTTGCATTTGATTTAGAAAATGTACCAAGGAATATCTTCGGATAACAAATAACATAGATTACTCACTGTTTGTCACAGGGACATTTGGGGTAGTATGGTATTTTTGACAAGTGTAGACAGGCCCTGAGACAGCGTTATATTTTGAAAAAAGTCCAAGGGGAACAGTGTTTACTGTTAAACAAACTGCCTTAATTAGACTAACCAGAAGATGCAAAAAGCTCTTGGAGAGGAGACAAGTTTTGATCTATACTGTCTCCTTCATACTTCCTTCATAATGTCAAACAATATGAAAATCTGCAATTTGTGAGGTCACATCTACACTGCCACATAATGCAGCTGAACTGCATTATATGGCAATGTAGATTTATATGCATGCAGTTAAACTGCATTCTGAAACTGCATTATATGGCACTGCATTATATAGCAGTCATACTTCCAGCCTGATCTTTGATGAATAGGCTAGCGAACTTTAAAAGTTATTAAACTGTATTTTTAAGCCTCTGATAAATATACAGGCAATCCCTGGTATATGTAAGTTGGAACAGAGACATTTTAAGTGTAACTCCAGCCATACATACACACGCATATATATATACACACACACACACACACACACACACACATCCCTCATATCACAGGGACAAAAGTGAGGGGAAATCTTCTGAACAGGGCATAGGTTGCAAATATATAGGCCCTGGACAGCATAGATAGATAGATAGATAGATAGATAGATAGATAGATAGATAGATAGATAGATAGATAGATAGATAGATAGATAGATAGATAGATAGAGGCTTTGGACAACAAAGGGAAAGGTAAACACCCCTGTGGCATTTGTTTTGCAGCCTGTGCCCCTGTTCAGAAGATTTCCCCTCACTTTCTGTCCCTGTGATAATTTCATTTTGAAAAAATCGGCTTGTTGTAGAAACAAGGATTGGAGATAAATCTTCAGTAGAGACATCTTTTCCCCATGGTAATAACTCTTTTGGGAGTGAATTTCCCTTCAGCCCCGTTCTTAACTATGAATCGTATGTAAGCAAATGTTTGTAACTCAGGGACTGCCTGTATCACTAACATGAACCCCGATGTTATAAAATACTTTTTTCTCTCATGGAAGAGCTTAACAACCCTTTGTCCAAATTACATAAAATGCTCAAATTGCATAACTAAATTGCCTGCAAGCGTAAGTGCTTAAGTCCACCTTCTGTCACCCCCGAGTGGTAAAGTAAACTGAAACGATCTATTTGAAAAGAAAACACACACTTTGGGCCAAAAGATAAAACCTCCCCCTAGTCTGAGGTTGAGTAAAGGTGCATTTAGTTACACTGTAGAATTAGTAGTTTGACATACCACTTTAACTGCTAAGCCTGAATGTTATGGAATACTGGGATTTGTAGTTTGGCGAGGCGCCAGCACTCTGGAAGAAAAAGCCTGCCAAAATTACAACTTCCAAGATTCCATAGCATTGAAGCATGGCAGTTAAAATGCTGTCAAACCACATTAATTCCGCAGTGTAAATGCACTCTACAATAAGTGTATTAAGTGACTGAGGCCTTATATAATTTCTGCTGACAAGGTGATAGAACAGGCATGGGCAAACTTTGGTCTTCCAGTTGTTTTGGACTTCAACTCCCACCATTCCTAACAGCCTCAGATCCCTTCCTTTTCCCTCTCAGCCGCTTAAGCAACCACAACTCCATTGTGTCTTATTTATAACTTACATCTTATTTAGATTGTAAGTCTGAGAGCAAATTAACATTCTGGAAGGTGCTGAAAGCTTTCGTGACTGAAAAGTGCGGTATAAACACTCTAAATCACTAATAACTGAATAAACAAAATGATGGCTGACACACAAAATGGTTGTTTACCATCAGCAGTTTGAGGCCTACATGGGTTGTTTGTCCTTCTTGATCAGTCACTCAGTTCTTCTGCACTTCCTGCAATTATGTGTGTGTGTTTTGCTTCACAAAAAGAAAATATACAATCAGATTGCTTAAAAAATAATTAAAGCTCTCTCTCTCTTTTGGAAGGCTTACCCAGTCAGATTTAAACTATGAATTTAAATTTACATTTTCTGGGTACAAATGAAATTAATGTGTTTCAATATTACTTCTGTCTCTTAAAATATGTCCCCAAAAAGGTTGGTCCCCATACTGTACTTCCCTCTGCCTGTTTGAAAGCCTGCCTCCACTACTCCGTTTCCAATGAGTTTCTCCCTCCCAAATATTTATTGGGGAGATGGTGACAGGGTATAAATAAAGTTTATTTGTTTATTTATTTATTTTAATGGTCTTGTGTATCATATGTACTCAGGTATAATGCTGAAGGGGTACCGGTACCCCTTCAATGCGCCATCAAATGCAATACATAACTCTTTTATTTTGTAATTCAAAAAACAACACTTTATTAATAGATAAAACTTAAATTTATTTTCCTCTTGGGTATCACAATAAAGTCTTTGTGAGGAAAGGTAAGTTCTTGGGTTATGCACACAGTTCTGGCTCTTGGATATTTTCTCTTTCTTAATGACTGTTACTTGTAGTTGCCTGTTTGTCTCTGAGATGTTACTGATGTTCTCCTTGACCTTACTTTACTATATAACTTTGATGCGATGTATTGTTACGATATATATATATATATATATATATATATATATATATATATATATATCAGACGTGACTAATGGCTTTATTATATAGCTCCGACATGACGTACTATTTTGTGCTTCTTTCCAGTCCTTCTCTCTTTATCTTCCAATACTACTCTAACAGAACACATCAACGGTCATCTCATGAAGCCAGAAGGCACAGGGCTGAAGGAGGCTATAAATGTGAAGGGGAAGGGACTATCTAAAGAGACCCTCTTCAGTACTGTACATACAATGTGAAACCCACCTAACTAAAAAGGGATGATTAGGGGTAATTAGTGAGGGTTTCTCTGGTGGCACAACACTCCCCGTCAAAAACTTATATGAATAAGTTTTACCCCTTATTAATAACAAATTAATATCTAATACAAAATATAAACTAATCTAATAAATATCTTAAAGTTCCACCTGGGCTTTCCCTTTATCTTCCTTCAGTGTTTCATCCTATTGCTCTTCTTCAGTCCCTACAGATTCATCTAGATAAAATAGCAAGATGAGGCATGTATGAACCATCTAGGACATTAAGATCTTCGGGGGAGGCCCTGCTCTTGGTCCCACCTTCCTTGCAGATGCATTTGGTGGTGGTGACAGGGCCTTCTCAATGGTGGCCCCTCGACTGTAGAACACCCTGCCTAGGGATATAAGATCGCCCCACTCTTGTCTTCTTGAAGCAAGGTGAAAACCCGGCTTTTTGAGCAGGCCTTCCCAAATACAGCATAGTTATACGAAATCATGGAACCACTTGACAACGCAATTGAATAATGACTTGACATGGAGACGCTCACGATAATGTCTTTAAGGCTTTGAATGGTTTTTTTATATTCTTATATTGTATGCTAATGTTTTTAACAGTATTTTATGATTGTTTTACTTGTTATAATTGTTGAGGCATCAAATTGTTGACAATTGTGAACCGCTCCGAGTTACGTCTGGGCTGAGAGGGGCGGTATATAAATGTGGTAAATAAATAATAAATAAATGTTATTGCTTTTCAAAACCTTACATTCTGATGTCTTCGTTGTCTTCATCTTGATGGTGTATTTTGGTGTATTCCTTTCCTGGGACTATTTGAACCACAGTGGCCAATTTTTCTAAGAGAGTTATCGTTGACTATGTCCCCTTCATGTAAAGTTCTTCTTTATATCTGGAACTTTAATATCTGAATCAAGAACATTCAGGAGTACTGTAGTCTATTGCAGAAGAGTGTGTTTCTATTGATCTTTTAGCTGACCCACTGTGATGCTGGCCTCAGATATTTCTACACATCATAGAAATTCCTGTACCCTGGGGTCTAGAAATTAACAAGGAGAAAAGCAGTTAGTAAATGCACTACAAGCATATTCTATTCTTCAATACTATAAAATATTAACACTGGGAACAAGAAATCCTATTGACTACTGGTTTCCACAGCACCCTCATTGTAGTCATCTCTCCCCCCCCCCCCTCCATAATGTATAATAGAGGGTTCTTAGTATCTGTAACATAGACCAATATGCTTTGTTTTAACAATAAATCAATAAATAAGATGTAGTCTTAATAAATAGTAAAACATTACCTCTCTGTTCCACAGGCATGGAAAGACCTACCAGACCCAGATGGCTGGATAGGCAAATCACCGACGTCAACATCTGAACTGATAATGAGACAGGATGAGGATGACATCCTGAAGCCAAGGGACACTCAGTCCTGGGACTCTGCACAGAGGGATCATCTGTTGGATGAAAAGAAATAGTTAAGAAGCTAAAAACACTCCTCGCTTGTTTTTAGAAAATTCTGCCATATAACAAAATTCAGAAGTCTCCTTTTATGGGTACAAAGAGGTAGAATTATTGGAGAAATCTTAGTTATATTGAAAGCTTTCATGGTTGGAATCATCTGTGAATTTTTGGGGATGTATGGCCATGATCCAGCAGCATTCTCTCTTAACGTTTCACCTACATCTGTGGCTGGCATCTTTAGAACCCGTGAAGAAGCCACCCACAGATGCAGGCGAAACGGTAAGAGAGAATGCTACTGGATTATAGCCATACAGCCTGAAAAAGGCATAGCAACCTAAATCTTAGTTTGCTAACACATAGTTCAAAACAAATGTATATTTATATTTCATAAGTTTGACTAACAATACAGGAGAGGACATGGTTGTGGAGTTTAGCCATTAGGTTTGTATCACACTCAGATCTTTCATGTGGCAGGATGGATTTTGTTTTTCTTATCCCACCACTGCCACCAATAAATATGGGACTCACACACCTAGGTGATGCAAGCAGAAATCTTTGGGCAAGGGGGACTTTATTATATTATCCCACCTTGCCACCAATTATGTAAAAGATGAGGCTTTGTTTATTTGAGAGTGGGGTTTATATGAGAGATAATTCTAGGACACCTATTTGTGTCACTGTGATTTTCTTTCTTTCTAAGATTTGCTTTCTCTTCCCAGTCTCACTCCTGCTGCTTCAGAATTGACACTGAAGTCAAATAGAACTGCTGAGAAACTCTTTCTTCTATCCACCCCTGGCTAGATTATGCCTCAGAGTTAAATACTTTTATGCCTTAAAAAGACAACACTGAAGAATAAACACCTGGCTCACTACTTGGAGCCACCTTTTCCTCTGACTACCTGTCAGAGGCTTAAACTACTTGGTCTAGCTCCACCTAGCTAGAACCAACCATCCTTAGGCTCATCTGGCCACCAACTGACAACCTTTCAAACTGTGTTCTTTCTTTCAGTGGCAGTTAGCTCTGCCCCCTTTTTTCTGCCTGGAGTCTATGTTGCTATGGCAACACCCCGGCTCAGGCTACTCAGGCTGGCCTGCACTTATATCCCAACATTAATAAATATATCTAAAACTTATATTTTAATTAGGCATTTCGTTACAAGGTCCTACCACAGCTTCAAACAATATGCCATATTTTTCATAGTGGTGTAATCTTCCCTTCCCACTCACAGTTTCCTGGCTTTTAGTTCTGGTCTTGCCTCTTATGGAGAATTTTATGCCTTTTCCCAATTGATAATAAAGAATATCAGATGGTCATACATATGTTAAAGTTCCATGTGTTTTGTGGAGGTCTCTGCATTTAATAAAAAGACTACAATCCTCCCATTCAATTCATTAAATATTTACATAAAAGCAGAAGGAGAAATATGAAAGCTCTGAACTGTCCTTTTAATGAAAAAAAAATTAAGAAAACGAGTTTGTTCTTGTTCATTCATTCAGTCATTTCCGACTCTTCATGATCTCATGGACCAGCCCATGCCAGAGCTCCCTGTCGGCCGTCACCACCCCCAGCTCCTTCAAGGTCAATCCAGTCACTTCAAGGATGCCATCCATCCATCTTGCCCTTGGTCGGCCCCTCTTCCTTTTTCCTTCCATTTCCACCAGCATCATTGTCTTCTCTAAGCTTTCCTTTCTTCACATGATGTGGCCAAAGTACTTCATCTCTGCCTCTAATATCCTTCCCTCCAGTGAGCAAACGGGCTTTATTTCTTGGAGTATGGACTGGTTGGATCATCTGGTGGTCCAAGGCACTCTCAGAATTTTGCTCCAACACCACAGTTCAAAAGCATCTATTTTCCTTCGCTCAGCCTTCCTTATGGTCCAGCTCTCACGTCCGGAGGTGACTATGGGGAATACCATTGCTTTTGCTATGCGGATCTTTGTTGCCAGTGTGATGTGTCTACTCTTCACTATTTTATCGAGAAAGAAAATGAGGGAAAGGCATTAATGGAAAAATGCAACTATGTACTCATCCATATGCTTAAAGAAAACAAAAAGCTAACATGGTTAATGAGAACATGTTTTTCAACTGCCTAATGGCCCTGGTTTCCCTCTTAGTTCCTTCAAAAAGAAGGTCTTTGCAAGAACATCAATATATATGAAGTCTCCTCATCTTCTTTAACTTCATGGCATGGAGTTCATTTGGGCTAAAGAGATCATGGCTTGATTAATTGCTGTCAGTGTCAGGGGAGAAATAACCAGGGTAATCTATTGATATGTATTTTAATTTAAACATTAAGTCTGGGTCTATGAATTGGACCCACAAAATTCCATTCTGAATGAAGAAAAGTACTTCCCTCCTGCAGATTTTATGGCCTGATGACTAGAAATCACTGGCTTCTGTTAGATTCAGAATGTGTAATTTACTGTTTCTCTTTTTTCTTTAAATAATCTTTAATAATTTGCTCAATGTCCATGGCAGGCTTCTTTCCACCAGTTGGGGTTCAGAATTGTCAAGGACCTGGATAAAGTCTCACCTTCCTCCTAAGGACCCAAATCAAAAAGAGCCTGCACTTATGTGGGTTGCTGAGGTACCTGCTCAGCGTCCTGCTGTTATTACCAATATGTGTCGTAACCATGTTTATTTATTTATTTATTTACTATATTTATTTCTCGACTCCAAGGGGGACTCAAGGCAGCTTACAGATAGGCAACAATTCAATGCCTTAACAACAATATACAATTAAAATAAACCTTTAAATTAAATTAAGATCAAAATTGAAATACATTAAAACATTTAAAAAACATTACAATGACTATGAAGTTAGATGTATGATGGGGCAGGGTTGGGGGAGTATAGATCTGGGAATAGTCAATGTAATAACACAAGTTTATACTGTTAAATGTTTTTATTAAAGAATAAAATTTTAAAACTTTAAAATGGAAAAAAATAACAAAAAAGCAAGTTAATTATATACATAAATCTCACAGAGAGTTAATTATATACATAAATCTCACATGTTGAAATCACAAAGCAGATGAACTTCTAAACATTCCCTCAAACTATTAAGGATGCACCTCCTTGTAATATCATTACTAACACTGCAGCTAAAGCCTCTCTGAAGTATGATTTCATGAGAGAAGGAAAGGATTCCATGTCAGCTGTGCCCCAAATCTTAAATTTTATGTTTCCCAGGCAATGTGAATGAATAATAATATTCATTAGACACCAAAATGGTGGGTAATAAAAAGGCCACAACTTAATTTGGTTACAGCTAGTGTTGTGGGCAACGTGTTCATTTTACAGCTATTTTTTAAATTTATATATCATATTAATAGCTAGCAACTTTCAGATTGTCATGTATTTAGACTGGACTTTATTGCTATTTTGAAAAGTTGCCTCCAACTTTGAAAACAAGTGCTTCTTCTGTTGTGCTGAGGTTTTTGCCATTTACGCAAAAGGTCCAATAATAATGATTAAGATAACAATGATGATACCAATAATTTATGTATTACCTATCTCTCCTCAAGACACGAGGCAGGATACAACACGGTTAAAATACAAAGATAAAGCAAGATAGTTAACATTCATATATCAAGAGACAAACAAAAGATAAAGACACATTAAAATCATTTATAAATGAAAGTTTAAATGGGTTAAAATTGACTGAGCAGGCTTGCCAAAAGAGATAGGTCCTGCCCCCCCCCCCCCCCCAAGTTGCTTGGTCCCTAGCCATGGTACTCAGGCATTTTGAAAGCTGTAGTGCAAACAAAAAAAATGTCTATATGGACTTCAGCCATTTCTACTTAGTAAGAAAGTGGTAAATAGTAACAGTCATGCTGAAAATACTGCTAAGGTACAAAGCGAAATCTCACTGGATGAGTGGATTCCTTTTCTGACTTTTGTTGTTCAGCACCACAGCAGGACACAAACTGTTTCAAATATAGTAAGAATGGTTACGTAACCTGGAGACAGTTTGACTAATACCTCTATTGGCCGTGTTTATAAAATCTGTTAGTCATAATACAGCAGAAGTCCCTGGCTTTGTGTACGTCTGTTTTTGAGCACAACCGAAATGTTACAGTATTGTCATATCTTTTTTTCAGGATCCTCTCAGCTATTTGTGAGGGGGGAAAACTGTTGCAGAAATGTTGTATAAACATAAAACACAATGTAGTCCATTGACAGAGGCCCCTGTGGGAAACTGAGAAAAAAGCAAATGAGTGAATGTGTGCTTCCTAGTGAAACGCACTAGACCAATTTACACTATAATTTAATCTATGAACTGCAATATCTGGCTCACTCACATGAGACCCACTTCAACTTACTGCCCTGAAACTATTTCCCCCTCATTATTCTACCCACACATACATTATCTTTCTGACAATTTGGGGAATTACTTTGGTTTCTCTATGTTGCCCAGGGTGCATCTACACTGTAAAATTAATGCAATTGAATACCACTTTTAACTCCTGTGGTTCAATGCCACTGAATCACAACAGCTGCCATTTTACAAGGTTTTTAGCCTTCTCTGTACTGGGGTCTTGCCAAATAATAAAACCCAGGATTCCACAGCATCGAGCCATGGTAATTAAAGTGGTGCCAAACTACATTAATTCTACAGCGTAAATGCATCTTCTCACCTAGAAGTACGATATCTTAACTAAACACATGTGTAGTTAAGGCATTGCCAATTACTTTGTGGCATTTAATCAGGACAGGGGGTGATATTAAAGCTGTAAAACAAGAATGAGATGCATATTAATATAATAACTTCATTTTTATACCCCGCCTCCATCTCCTCGAAGGAACCTGGGGCAGCTTACAAAGGGACATGCCCAAACAGATACAAGTTAAAACAAGCACAAAAAAACCCAGTCAATATCAAATATCTATAAACATAAAATTAAACAGCATTTTAAAAAATTAAAAACAGTATCATGGCAGAACAACAAAATGCTGGGTATGGCTCAAATTGCTTAGAGCAGCGATTCTTATGTGGTGCCTGGGGAAAG